AAGAAAGAACAGAGATGAATGTAAAACCATGATTTGGGCGCAAAAGGTAACTTCCCATGAATGAGCTTGAACTAAAGCGAGAGAGGTTATGTAGACTAAGTTCTCCATGAAATACCTTTTTCAACACATCTTTCGTTTCTAAAATAATTGCAGTGCAGCAAGATGGTAAAGAGGAAAAAAATTTCAAGGAAAAACTTTTTATATACCTACCAACATTATTAGGTTCTACAGTTGACTTCTTCGTAAGAATATTACCATTTTTAGACACGTTACAGACCATTTAACATCGATGTAGAGTAATAGTACAGAGCAACATAATGTACCCATAACCGTCAACGATTCAACAAAATCAAGACTCATCATTCAAATGCTAGCAGCATATGCGACGCTTGAAACAGGTTCAAAAGGTTTAGCATAATGAGATGCAAGATGCAGTTGTACATTAGTGCTCGATTTAACAATGGTCGAAAAACCCTAGAACTGTACTAGGTAACTTAAGTAAAATGTTAAAAACATCTTATGTCTAAAATAGTACCGATGAATTTTAACTTAGCGATTGGATGTCTTGGAAACTCTTTACAGACGGCGCCCATAATAGTGACAGCGATATTTGAGAAACAAATGGCATAAATTTATTTTAGGTTAGTTTACTATTAACGGCTTAAGACACAGACAAGCGGCTTAGCTTCAACAATACATAAATATAGTTATATTATCCGAAAACTGGTGTACAGCATCAATAAAAAAATCTTTATTTAACATTATAACGTTCTGACCGAACAGGCATTGGTCATTATCATGCTGGGTAAAATCGCTGGACAGCTGGCCATAAACATTCTCCTGCGTCTTCAGAAGACAAACTGGATATACCAGTTATCTACGGCATTGTACTACCACGAGTTAAAAATGTTACTTAAATATATTTATAAGCGTAAATAAGAGTTTGGGACTCACCGGTCGAAAGAGGTAGACTTCCAGACGAAATCCACAGAGTAGCCATGAGTGATTTCTACTGGTACGCCTGCATTGCTCTTCAACTCGATTCCAACATCTTCACCATGATCTAAAATGTACAAAATTGGTTTACGCATACATATGCGTAATATAAACATCAAACTGTCTTACTATCTGGGACTTTGATGACGTGGCCTACGCCTGACCATTTTTTATCAGGGCCCTTTGTAACGCGCAGCCGCAGTTCGTCTCCCTGCATCAGTTTCATGTCTAAAATCAAGCATAAGCTGTGTAGCAGAGCAAAATCGATCGGTAGGACCTACCTCCTTCGTTCATCTTACTGAGCGAAAAATAGGCTAGTCGTTTTTTGTTCAATCCAACGTCCCAACGGACAGAAACGTTCTCCTGCGTTTGTGCCTCTTTCAACTTCCGGTCGTACTCTGCCTCGAGTTCTATCAGAGGCGAAAATACGCGCTGATACTGATACGCGTCTTCATATCTAACAACAACCAAGTCGTTGAGAAACAAACATTAAAAAGCAAAACAAACGCTTAAACTCTAAAACACACCTTAGCAATACTTGCTCCGGTTCCTCATCGACGCCTGGTTTCTCTAAATCCTCCAGAGTCGCGTCTGGACTATCCTAAAATTCAGCAGAAAACGGTCAGCGATGGAGTGACAACTATAAAAATTATTACTCCAAATTACTTTACAAACATTAAGTCACAAGAGGTCTATAAAATTATCCAGATCATTCAAGGTTTCAAATATTTTTATAATAATCCAACTGTTTAGAGAAAACGCATAACTGCTCAAACGTCAGATTTCAGGCACATTGCATCGCCTCGAGAGGAAGGGGATATTAGAGTAGGCCACAATTCAACGGAATTTGATTACCGGCAGGGTTCACCGTAGCTTTAAAATAGTCTCAATTATATTTAGGCAGGAAACCGAATTTGCGACGATGCTGATCATATGATAAATGGACTAGCAGCGCTTTTTAGGCATCGTGAAAGGTTATCTAAAACAAACGATTACAAATCCGGAGATAACAACTGATGACACAGTCTGCAGCACCTTTCAAGGCGTGACGAAACGTAATCTCTTCTCATCCTACTTACCTCATCAATGGAGGACAACAACTAGCGGCAATGCTATAGGAAAGATCCGAACGATAATGCAAAACGGTATCGGAAAAAGAGGAAATCACACACTATCAGTCTCTTGCAGACGCAAGACCATTCGGGTAATAACAATGACGCAACGTGTACATACAGATCGTATTGCCTTTAAGTGGAAGACGATTTATCCCTGACATTTCGATAACCATACAGCAAACCTAACTTACAAAACTTGATCATAAGAATACACAATTCTCTGCGGGGAACAAATAGGACTTTAGTGTTTGAAGTGCGCTTGAGAGGACGGCCGACACTGCTACCAAAAATATTAAAAATGAAAGTTTATAATTATGAATAAGTCGTTTCGACTTATACTCAAACGAAACAGTTCTGTGGCATTGTTGTTATGAACTTATGATTCTGCTTTCATCTCCGTCAAGGTTCCACCCGCCCAAAGGACGCCAGCTGCGACGGTTTGGGCACGTGCTGCAAATGCCTCCAGAAAAAAAGGCGAAGCAACTAGTGCTTTCCCAACCGACCGCAGAAGACCAGGGAATTAAAACTATTTTAAAAGCGAACGTCGTTTGAAAATTCATAAACTTCTTGAAAATAACATTGAAAACGGTTTATTTGTGTCGATCGGATGGCTGACGAGTAGCACGTTTCGCCCGAGTCTCAAGGATATTTTTTAAGGTCAAGAAGCTCATTGGCTTCCGAAGGTAGATAGGTCCGTGAGAAATGGAGTACTGGCTAGTCACACAATTGATCACATCGTTTGTTTTTCGTACCAATAAACCGTGTTTTATGCTGTCCTTTTAAGAAGTGTAAAAGGAACTATACAAAAAAATTATTTCTTTGCAATAACAGGAAAATGTCATAAACGAATCGGGCATAGTAAAT